CCGAAGGTGGACAGGAGTCATCGTCGATCTCAGGTTCCACATGGGCAACCTTGAGACGGTCGATAGAGACAGTTTCACGTTTACCGTGGCGGTCGATAACGAATACGCGGTCCTTACGTTGAAGAAGCTTAAATGGACCTTCGTAGGGTCGTTCGAGTGGTCTGCGTAGACCATCGACTCGAAGGAAAACGTAAGTGCAATGCAGTAGATCTTGTGGAAGGAACGATTTACGTCGTTGTTCTCGCACGTCGGTTGCTTTGATATGGCGCATGCTCGTGGCTAACTGCCGAGCGTAATTCGCGTCGTAGCGAGGTGTTCTAGGGTTTTCAGAAAAGAAGTCCCCAGGTAGTCGAAGAGGTTGTCCATATACCAATTCGGCGCTGGACGTGTGCAAATCAGCTTTAAGAGCTGATCGGATACCAAGTAGTATCATGGGCAGTGCTTCGGTCCAGCTTAGTGCATTAGCGGCACTAAGTGAGGCCTTCAGCTGTCGGTGGAAACGTTCCACCATGCCGTTGGATTGCGGGTGATAGGCGGTAGTCCGGATGCGTTGACATCCGAGGACTTTGAGAAGATCGTTGAATGTCGAGGATTCGAACTGCGGACCGCGGTCGGTAGTCACGGTGGCTGGACAGCCATGTGAAGCGACCCAGCGCTCAACAAAAGCGCGCGTTACGGTGTCCGCGGATACGTCGGGTATAGGTACTGCCTCGGGCCAACGGGTGTATCGGTCGATCATGGTCAAAATGTAGACCATTCCTCTGGATGGTGCCAAGGGTCCAACTATGTCGAGATGGACATGGGCGAAGCGAGCTGAGACTTGCGGAAAACGACCAAGCGGGGCGGACACGTGCCGCTGTATCTTGGCCTGCTGACACGTTAGACAACCGCGTGCCCAGCGCTTAAGATCGCGTTGCATTCCGGGCCAAACGTATCTCTCGGATATGAGTTTGATCGTGGCTCGGATGCCTGGATGAGCGATGTTATGAAGTGTGTCGAAAACTGGACGTCGAAAGGTTTCTGGAACGACGGGTCGAGGTCGTCCAGTAGAAGTATCGCACAAGATTGTGGCATCAGATGACGGCAGTGGATGCGGTGTGATTCGTAGCGAAGAATCTTGTTTGACGTTCTGACAGTCAGTGTCGTTTAGTTGCGCAGTAGCCATGGCAGATAAGTCGATTGCCTGGCCAGCGGTGTGGATTGCGGAGACGCGCGAAAGGGCGTCAGCAACGACGTTATTCTGACCTGAAATGTGTCGGAGGTCAGTAGAAAATTGAGCCACGAAATCCAGCTGACGAACCTCACGTGGTGAGTGTCGAGCTGATTGATTTCGAAAGGCGTAAATAAGCGGCTTATGGTCGGTGAAGATAACGAACGTATTACCTTCTAAAACGTGCCTGAAATGTCGAACGGTAGAATAAACTGCCAGCAGTTCACGGCTGAACGTGCTGTACTTGACTTCTGCCGGTTGTAAGCGTCGGGAGTAGAAAGCGAGCGGCTTCCAGCATCCCTCAGTGAATTGCTGCAGGACGGCGCCAATGGCGGTGTCCGATGCATCGACTGCAACGCTGAGTGGAGCCTTCGGGTCGAAATGGTGAAGCATAACGGCTTGGGCCAAGGCCTCTTTGCAGGCTTTGAAGGCTTCGGTTGCAGCGGGCGTCAATTCGACATTGCCGTTCTTGCGTCCACGAAGTAAGTCGGTCAATGGACTGAGCAAGTCGGCACAACGTGGCAGAAATCGACGGTAGTAGTTAATCATCCCACTAAAACGGCGGATGGCGGCCAAAGTAGTCGGAAGGGGAAAGTCCTTAATAGCACTGACTCGGTCTTCGAGCGGCCGTATGCCATGCTGGTCAATTCGATGACCAAGAAATTCGATAGATGGTTGCTGAAAGATGCATTTGTCAGCATTGACAGTAATGCTATTAGAAGCTAACCTCTCGAAAAGCATCTTGAGGTGCTCCGCGTGCTGTTCTTCGGAAGAACTAGCGACCAAGATGTCGTCTATATAAGGATAAACAAAGTCGAGACCTCTGGTGACAGAGTCTATGAAGCGTTGAAAAGTTTGAGCTGCGTTACGAAGACCGAAGGGCATTCGCAAGAATTCAAAAAGTCCGAAAGGCGTGATGACTGCGGTTTTCGGAATGTCATCATCGGCTACAGGGATCTGGTGGTAAGCGCGAACCAGATCGATCTTCGAGAACACACGGGCGCCACGTAGGCTAGCCGTGATGTCCTGAATGTGCGGAATGGGATAGCGGTCGGGGACGGTAGCGTTATTAAGAGCGCGATAGTCGCCACATGGACGCCAGTCTCCTGACTTTTTAGGCACCATGTGTAGAGGCGACGCCCACGGGCTCTTAGACGGGCGAATAATGCCTAAGTCTAGCATGTGCTCGAATTCGGAGCGTGCAATTTTGAGCTTGTCGGGGGTCATGCGCCTGGCTTTTGCGAACACAGGCGGACCTTTCGTAACGATGTGATGTGTCGCGGCGTCGGTTACGGAAGGCAACGGGACGGCAGGACGGAAGACCTGCGGAAAACTGTCGAGCAGCGTTTGCCCGACGAGTGAAGTAAGTTGAGTCGCGTACACGGGCCTGATTGACGCGGTGTCGGTCAAAGTCCCAATGACTGCGAGGTTCGTAAGACGGTCGACTAGACGGTGTCGCTTAACGTCGACGAGTAGGTCGTAATGACGTAGGAAGTCGAGACCAAGGATAGGCGTTTGCACATCGGCAACGAGGAATATCCATTTGAAAGCGCGTCGGAGGCTGAGATTTAGCGTGCGCGAGCGTTGACCATATACGCGGATGATGGTTCCGTTAGCTGCGCGCAATGAGCTAGTCACCTTTTCGGTCGGGTCATTTGGATCACGCGGGAGAACGCTGACTTCTGCGCCAGTATCGACGAGATAGCGAACTCCGGTTCTACGATCGGTGACGAAGAAAAGGCGACTGCGTTGACCAGCTACGTCCGTCGCCCCTACGTGCTGGTCCGCCCGTTTCCCTGCTGCTGTCGTTTGAAGGAACAGGGCGGGCGACATGATTTAGCTTGCTGGCCGAAGCGTTCGTGGTACCAGCAGTAACCGTTTCTATTCGGTGATCGCGAAGGAGACTTCGAACGTGAACGCGAACGGCTCCTAGAGCATTTACAGCGGTTATGTCTGGATGCCGAAAAGTCTGCGAATTGTCGAGTCAACGTTGCCATCTGGGATTTAAGCGTATCGATATCGTTGTCCGGTTTCGTGTGGACCTGCGAAACCTGGCCGTACGACTCCCAAATTCGGTCGGCTGTATCGGCCAGTTTGGGTAAAGGTGCATCCTCGCTAGCGCAGAGGATGTGTAGCATCTCGCGCGGAAGTCGTTGCAACCACATTTCCCGAAGAAAAGAATCATCTATCGAAGTTGGTTTAGCTAGGCTCTGCATTTTTCGAAGCAGCTGAGAAGGCTTAAGATCGACAAGATCGGTTTCGTTCAGGAGTTTCGTAACTCGTTGTCGATCGGATAAGCCTGTTCTTCTCAGAACAGCTGTCTTGACTGCATCGTAAGTCTTTTGGTCGTCAGGAAGATCTAGAATGTCATCAATGTCATCGATGACATTTAGCGGAAGCGCGGAAACGACAAGGTGGAACTTGGTCTTTTGGGACCTAATACCACGCAAAGAAAATTGCGACTCTAGCTGACCAAACCAAGACTTAGGATTAGTCTCGCGAAAAGGTGCGATAGGAAGCGTAACTGTGCCGATCTGAACGTCAGAATCTACACGATCAGTTTCCATAGCGAGCAAAATAGCGAGCCAGCAAGATTAAATCGGAAAATGAAAAGTGAAAATCAGACGGGTTAGCGAAAAGATTTGGCCAAATCTGAAAAGAAAGGTTAGCGAAAACTCACCGGATAATGACCAAAATTCGGGGTCACCAATAAAGCGCGAAGCGGGATCGGTACGCTTTAAAACCAATACGCGAAAATAAGGCCAACCTCCGATGAGTGGAGAACACCAAAAGTAACGCTAGGAAAAATTTATTAAGTGGGCGAAAGGCTATCTAGTGCTAAAAATAAGGCACCGAAAGATAGCTAGCTAGGGAAAGGTGTGGTCGCGTGCGCGGAGAGCAAAGATGGCCGCAGAGCCGAGGAGCGTCGCGCCGTTCGAAGGCGGATGCTATGTTGACTCAAACAAACGCGAGCAACGTTCAAACAGGCGAGCGGCTATTTTGCTATGTACATCGAGAAAATATAATTTTGTGATTTTGTAATATTTTACGCAGCATGCGGCAGCCAAACAGGGGAATCTCCAGGTCGCTACATGCATACCGCACTGATGAGGTTGGTGAAGTATCCATTATATAATGACGCCAATTAGATGAGGATTCTGCTTACAGGAAGAAACCATCCACTGGCGAGGTGGACGGAGCATAACGCCATGGAAATGCAATTAAGCTGAATGCTTGCAGGGAGATGAAATTATTTTTCAGGAGATGTTCCGGAAGTGAGAAAGCGTAGATCAAAAATTTTCAAACCCATAGAGGATACGGATCAAAAGGCCTCTAGGAGAAATTATCCACTGGCAGTGAGGGAACATAACGCCATGCCTTCGCGTGTTGGCCACTTGCTGGGAGATGAAGCTTGTAGTGCAACAGAAAACATGCGCTTTCTCACGTTTACCTATTTCGCTGCAGTTGTTGTACAGCTTTGTTTTAATTGACTGTATATATACACACTTGGTTACGCGCTCGCCTTCCGTGGTTCTTCCTTGGTTGCCGCTGCATTGTTGTGATTGTGCGCATCGCTGCCTGCTTGGTTCACGATCGGACTCTACGTACACGTACATTTCGGCATACCCCGGGATTTACGGCCGTCCGACGCTAAGGTGCATCAGGATACTTTATATGTGAGGTAAACCTGACTGACTTGGTATTCTCCTTTACCGGTTCCTCCATATAATTGGTGACCCCGCACTTTTTATTCAACATTTTGTGTATATTTTTCTTTTGTTAACTTACAATGTCTGAGCACGCGCCAGCCATTAATGCGTCGGAACATTCTCTTGGACTCGTTTTGCCTTCATTTGACGTTTCTAACCCACGTGTTTGGTTTGTTCAAGTGGAAGATGTTTTCCGTTTTCGTAAGATTACATCCCAATCCACAATGTTTTCATATGTGGCTGCTCATTTACCGTCCAACATCGCTTCTGAGGTCATAGACATTCTTGACCCTATGCCCCTAGAGTCCCCCTATGATAAACTTAAGGCAGCTATTTTAAAGCGCACTACAGCCTCAGACGAATCACGCCTTCAGCAGTTACTCTCTGGTGTTGAACTTGGAGATAGAACGCCATCTCAGTTACTCCGACACATGCGTTCCCTCGTCGGTTCTTCCGCACTGGATGATTCCGTTCTCCGCCAGTTGTGGAGTAATTGTCTTTCTGCGAATACCACGGCTATTTTAGCTGTGCTTGCCGACGATCTTCCGCTAGACAAACTGGCAGAAGCTGCCGATAAGGTTCACGAACGCTTCATTAGAACGTCGGTATCACACGTCACAGAGACTAGCTCAGGCAGCCCCTCCAGAACCACGCTACTTGATACAATCAGCGAGAGGCTTTCTAACTTAGAGCTCACCTTGTCCCATCTCAGACGCGACCGCGTTCCTTCGCGACGATCCGTTTCTCGATCCGGACGGTCTAGCAGCTCTCGTACACGGAAGTCTCACCGGTATTGTTATTATCATCACCGCTTCGGAGACGCAGCGCGTAAGTGCCGTCCAGGGTGTAAACACCCCAAAGCCTTTTCAACTCCTACGTCGGGAAACCACATGGCCAGCCAGTAATGGCGGCGGCTGTCGCTGGCCAGGTTATTAGTCGCCTGTTGTATGTATTTGACTCCATAACCAAACTTCACTTCTTGGTTGATACTGGTGCAGAAGTCAGCGTTCTCCCCCGTTCTCTGGAAAAACGCCCCCTGCAACCAGCGAGTCCAATGCTTACGGCAGCTAATCAGACTAAAATCGCGACCTACGGCCAGAAATTACTTACTTTGAGTCTCGGATTACGGCGTAACTTCCCTTTCCTTTTTACCATCGCCGATGTGCAAAAGCCCATTATCGGAATCGACTTCCTCAGCAAGTTCGGTCTTATGGTCGACCTACGTTGTGGGAAATTGCGAGATGATACTACGTCTTTAAGCATACCCTGCAACCTTGCCTCAGTCAATTCTCTCGGGCTTCGCATCATCATCCCTGACGACTCACAGTATTCTTCATTGCTCCGACAATTTCCGTCCCTAATTCGAGCAAGTAACGACACTTCCGATCCTAAACACGATGTACGCCATCACATCGTTACAACCGGTCCGCCTGTAACTGCTAAAGCTCGACGCTTGCGTCCTGACAAACTCCAGGCAGCTAAAAAGGAATTCCAACACATGCTTGATCTCGGCATTATTCGTCCTTCAAACAGCTGCTGGGCATCACCTCTCCATCTGGTGTCTAAAAAGTCAGGCGATTGGCGACCATGCGGTGACTATCGTGCTCTTAACAACGTCACTGTTCCGGATAGGTATCCTATCCCACATATCCACGATTTCTCCCTTGGACTAGCTGGAAAGTCAATCTTTACCAAACTCGATCTTGTCAGAGCTTACCATCAAATTCCAATGGCGGAGGAAGACATCGCAAAAACTGCCGTGATCACTCCATTCGGCCTTTACGAATTTCTTCGTATGCCTTTCGGCCTTCGGAACGCAGCACAGTCTTTCCAACGCTTTATGGATCAGGTCCTCTGTGGCCTTGATTTCGTCTACGTTTATATTGACGATATCCTGATCGCAAGCGCCACACCCGACGAGCATTTATCACACCTGAGAATGGTTTTTGAACGCTTTGAAAACCACGTGATAAACATCAACCCGGACAAATGCAAATTTGGTCAGCCAACCGTCGAATTTCTCGGTCACAAGATCGATGGTGAAGGTATTAAACCCCTCCCGAAGAAATCTCAAGCAATCCTCGACTACCCGATGCCACAATCTGTCCGAAGCCTTCGCCGATTCCTCGGTATGATCAACTACTACGGCAGATTCATTCCCAACTGTGCTGATTTACTTCACCCGCTTACCGACTTATTGAAAGGAAACTCAAAGACGTTTACGATAACCGCAGAAGTTGAAGCCGCTTTCACGGCCGGTAAGCAGAAGTTCAGTGAGGTCACCTCTCTCCATCACTTGAACACCACTGAGGACGCTACACTTGTCCTTAAGACGGATGCTTCAAGTTCTGCTGTCGGTGCAGTTTTGCAACAGTTAGTTGATAACGAATTTCAACCACTGTCTTTTTTCTCACGGAAGCTTCAACCTGCTCAGGTCAGGTACAGCACCTTTGGTCGCGAACTGCTCGCAATGTACTTGGCTGTGAAACATTTCCGTCACCTTTTAGAAGGACGTCGTTTCATTCTCTTGACCGATCACAAGCCACTGGTGTATGCCTTCCGTTCTTCCTCAGACCGTTACTCACCCCGAGAAACGCGTCATCTGGACTATCTTTCACAGTTTTGTGTTGATGTTCGTTATATCGACGGTCCTAGCAACGTTGTTGCCGATGCATTGTCCCGCGCTCATATGAATCAACTGTCATCGACACCCATCGACTTGGAGAGAATAGCGGCCGCCCAGAACGATGATCCTGAGCTCGTTCAACTTCGTTCAAACTCCTCATTGAAAGTCACCCAACTGCCCGTACCTAACTCTGACATAAGAGTTTACTGTGATCTTTCAACCGGTAAGCCTAGACCTTTTGTCCCACAATCATTTCGCCGAACCATTTTTGATCATTTTCACGGTTTTTCACACCCAAGTATCCGCTCCACCGTAAAACTCATTCCCGACCGCTTCCTCTGGCCCAATATGCCTTCAGACATTAGACAGTGGGCTAAACATTGCCTTAGATGCCAAACTAGTAAAGTGCATCGTCACACAGTCACCACCCCAGGTACATTTTCACTCCCTGACGCTCGTTTTAGACATGTGCACGTAGATATTGTTGGCCCTTTACCTCCTTCCAACGGTTTCACTCATCTTCTAACATGTGTTGACCGTTTTACCCGTTGGCCACAAGCTGTTCCCTTACGTGATACCTCTGCCGAATCTGTATCCCGTGCTTTTGTCGAATCTTGGATTTCGCTGTTCGGTGTTCCATCCACCATCACTACCGACAGAGGGGCTCAGTTCAGTTCCACACTGTTCCGCGATCTGAGTCGTTTATTAGGCTGTACTCACATGAGAATAACCGCGTACCACCCCGCTGCCAATGGCCTCGTCGAGCGCTTTCATCGACAATTAAAAGCTGCCATCATGGCTACTTCGTCCGACTCACGCTGGTCTGAGCGTCTACCTGCGATCCTCCTTGGTATACGCAATACAATCAAAGAGGACATTGGGTGCTGCCCTGCAGAACTCGTGTTCGGGACGACCCTCAGACTACCTGGGGAGATGGTACTGGACTCTCGCACCACCGGCGAACTAGACCCCTTCTCGTACGCTGAACGCCTCAAACAGCATTTTCGATCCATTCGACCAACGGCTACGCGGCCTAACCTACGTAAACAGCAAGTCCACCCCGATTTGCACAAGTGTCCGTTTGTTTTCATCCGCGTCGACGCCGTCAGAAGACCTTTAACTCCGCCCTACGACGGCCCGTACCAGGTCTTGTCACGGAAACCCAAGTATTTCGTATTGAATAAGAATGGATCAAAAGAATCCGTGAGCATCGACCGACTCAAGCCAGCTTATGTCGAAACTACAGTCGATAGTAAAGACCCCGTTTCCTCCCCTCAGCATACCCCCACCTCTGACTCATTACCCCCTATCCAACGACACACTGACGCCAGTACATTGAGTCCTCCGTGCCCTACGACTACACGCAGCTCCAAACACACACGTTCTGGTCGTGTTGTTTCCTTTCCACATAAGCTTGCTCAATACGTTCCGTAGGCACTTCTTGAGCGTTTTCTTAGTGCACGCTCTAGGAGGGGAGTACTGTAGCGATTGTAAATAATTTGCTTATTTTTCATTTTCACGTTTACCTATTTCGCTGCAGTTGTTGTACAGCTTTGTTTTAATTGACTGTATATATACACACTTGGTTACGCGCTCGCCTTCCGTGGTTCTTCCTTGGTTGCCGCTGCATTGTTGTGATTGTGCGCATCGCTGCCTGCTTGGTTCACGATCGGACTCTACGTACACGTACATTTCGGCATACCCCGGGATTTACGGCCGTCCGACGCTAAGGTGCATCAGGATACTTTATATGTGAGGTAAACCTGACTGACTTGGTATTCTCCTTTACCGGTTCCCCCATAACGATGCTTTCAAGGAAGTAAGCGGTCCGTTAGGACAGTCGAACCAGGAAAGGTAACGTCTCATAAGTCTGAGTGAATTCGGAGAGCAGGAGTCACGTTGACCTCCTGGATATGGAACAGGATCTGCGGATAGCGTGCTCCTTTGTGTTTCGTTACTCACTTGAAGATTCATTCTAAAGTTATTGTATATAGTATACAATGTCTTCCAAATGATTGGATTGCTGTAAGGCTGTCACTTCTCGGTCGAAGGCTGTTCAATGTTCCTTTAGCGAAGAGTGGATGCACATTGCATGTCGTAAACTCGGTGCAGATCTGTAAGTTCCACTGCAGAGGACTACTTCCTCTATCTTCGTCTTTATTTGTGACCAATGCCGCGCTGGACTGAGGGTCAATCGCGTTTCGAATGGCCTACCACCAATCAGTCCAAGTCCCTCATGTTTGCATTCTATGCAAAAGCAGAAAGATCCTCCGCCGCCCCCCAACGACAAGTATACGCTGGCCGGTCGGACTCCAGCGAAGAAGTCAGGTACCGACACTACACCGCCTGATGGACTGCTTGCACCGAACCCGCGTTTCTCTTCTGCTCAAGCGGAAGCGGCCATACTGCCTCTCTGGCATCCCCACGCTTCTCGTCACTAGCTTCTGATCCGGTTACCCCCACTGGTAAACCGACGGATGTTGACCACGGTAAAGCCCCAAATACCGAGACTTATGCATCCGTAGCGAAGGATCGTGCGCCACTGCCCTCGCCAGTACGAGTGGCTGAAAATAAGGACAAGATAGATGTCAAGGTGAAACGCAAACCCGTGTCTTCCCAATCGCAGTTGAAGCTAGTTCTGGGCAGAGTGGGTCAGCTGGAAAAACTGCTTAAGGGGGGCCACCTCTACACAAACCTCAGTTTCCCGATAACAACAAATCACCCTCTCGTGGCCGTTGTCTAATCATCACAAATGCTCCTGAGTCGTCCAAAACCACTCCAGCTGAAAGGATTATGGATGATCACGCGTTTCTAAAACGGATGATATCTTTACTGTTCGACGAAGGGAAGCCAGGAATCAACCTCGTATCGGCTTTCCGCCTTGGCAAGAAACAGGAGGACTCCTCTAGGGTCCGTCCCTTGAAGATTGTATATCAAAAC